AGAAGGTTTATTGAGGCTGTGAAGTGGGAAAGTATAAATGCAAATAGTTTCTTGAAATTTCAAAACACAAAAGAATGAAGAGGGCATTTCTCTTTGGTATTTTTGTTCCCTCTCTGAGAGCATTTTCTGGGCTTAGCACAGCATGGATCACTTGAATCCTCCATTTCCTTTAACTTTTCATACCTCATATGACCCATCAGGGTAGTTATTTTTATAAAATGCCTACCTGTCATGTCAGTCTTCTTCAGGAATACCAGATTGGTAAAGGGAGGCAGGAAGGGAGGATGGCTGGCTTCTGTTTCTCGGTTGCCATAGGGCCTAATCCTGACAGGCTGTTGGCCTACAGCCTCAGCTCCATTGTGTACGGTTTGCATGTGGCTGCATCTGAAGAGGGACGATTCCACTCACTTCCTGTAGCTCAGTGCTTTGGTCTAAATAATTGTTTCCCAGTAATTCATGTTGAAATCCTAAGTCCCAAAGGTGATACTATGAGGTGAGGCAACTGGGAGGCGCTTGTCATGAAGGTATCACTCACGAAGACATGCCTTATAAAGAGATTCCTAGAAGCCCAAACACGCTAAGACACTATCCAAGCAGTGAAAATAAGAGATAAGCAAAAAATGTAGAGAAATTTGTGAAAAATCTTTATGTGACAGAATAGACATTATAGAAAACTCAAAAATCACAGTATTTGGAATCTGGATGGCTGCCAGAAGCAGTAACAAGGATATTTACCTCTTTGGAGATCTGTTTCTGAACAGTGAAACAGTGATGTTTAACAACAAGAAACAGCAAGTAAAATGTCTTCTGACACCACGTGAGCACGCTGTGGCAAAGGATCAGGGTATGTAATGTAATGTATGTAATGTAAACAGTTGGCTAAAACATTTGAAACGCACAGATGTAAAAACGAATGAATTTGTTTAGGTAACTAGGTGAAGGTTTGAGAGTTTTAAAAGTGTGTTTTTTAGGGGTGCCTGGGTGGCTCAGTCAGTTAAGTGTCAGACTTCGGCTCAGGTCATGACCTCACGGTTTTGTGGGTTTCGAGCCCCGCGTTGGGCTCTGTGCTGACAGCTAGCTCAGAGCCTGGAACCTGTTTCAGATTCTGTTTCTCCCTCTCTCTCTGACCCTCCCCTGCTCCTGCTCTCTCAGAAATAAATAAAACATTTTTTTTAAAGTTTATTCATTTTTGAGACAGAGTACAAGCAGGGGAGGGTCAGAGAGAGAGGGAGACACAGAATCTGAAGCAGGCTCCAAGCTCTGAGCTATCAGTGTAGAGCCCTGACGTGGAGCCTGAGCCGTGAGATCATGACCTGAGCTGAAGTGAGAGACTTAACCCACTGAGCCACCTCTGAGGCTTTTAAAATAAATGTCTTGTTCCTTTAAAGGAGCAAAACCAAAAGTAAAAATCCTTGCTTAGGTATCCTTTCTAGGCTCCCAAAGCAGGCTGTCCACATGTTTATCCATCAAAAGTTACCACCCATGTGAGTTTGATCAAGTTGTAAAAACTCCAATGAACTGTGGAGCATGGGTTTAGAGAGGCGAACATTTTTTTTAAATTTTTTTTTTTTAATGTTTGTTTTATTTATTTGAGTGAGAGAGACAGCGTGAGCAGGGGAGGGTCAGAGAGAGAGGGAGACACAGACTCTGAAACAGGCTCCAGGCTCTGAGCTGGCGGTCAGCACAGAGCCCGACGCGGGGCTCAAACCCACGAACCGCGAGATCATGACCTAGGCGAAAGTTGGATGCCCAACCGACTAAGCCACCCAGGCGCCCCAGAGGAGAAAATTTGGGGTGAGAGGTAGATAATGTCTTCACCCCCAGCTGCCACCTTCCCATCAGACTACAGTCCCCCTGCAAACCAGGATCACCACCCCTCCCCACTCCGATCAAACATTTCCACCTCCTGATTCAGGCAGTAGCTGAAGGCAGGCCAGACAGATTGAAGGTAACATTTCAGTTGCTTTCTTTGCCGTGTGCTCAAAGCATGCTTAAAACAGAAGGTAAATGGTTTCCTTCTTATCTATGCCAGTTTCATAGACTTTTGCATTTTTGCAAGTTGTAGCAAATTCCAGACTGTTTTGTATAAATTTGTCCTTTTTGTGCTTATGAGCCCTTGCACATTTTATTCATGTCCTTTGAAAACTTGCTCAAAACAGAATTCTTGATAAACCAACACCGTTCCTTTTTTCCAGATACTTTTTTCCTTAATCATGATGTCTTAATTGTCCCTATTTTATCATCTTAACCCAATTTCCTTTTAGAATCTTGGGCCATGAAATGAGGACAACAGGTATCAAAATTTTTTGAAATATATTGTTAAATGTTTGTTTTTGATACAGAGGGAGGCACAGAGCCCGATGTGGGGTTCAGCCTATGAACCATGAGATCATGACCAGAGCCAAAGTTGGATGCTTACCCTACTGAGCCACCCAGGTGCCCCTGATACATTCTTAGTATGATTTTTCTGTTTTAGAACCAACATTCCTTGACAAATCTCCTGATACCCAAACCTATCTGACCTAGGCAAGAGGCCCAGTGCAGTGGAGAGTTTCTAACTGGATGTATTTGGGGAGTGTGTACACATTCTTTGTCTTAAGTCAGGGTTTCTCCACTCTGGGAGGAAGACATCTGGGGCTGGATGCATGTTCAGCAGCCCCCACTGCCATGTCTACTCCCAGCAGGTGGCAGTAGCACCCCTTCAAGTTGTGACAACCAAAAATGTCTCCAGACACTGCCAAGTTGTTCATGGAGAGCAAACTTGCTGTCGTGCTGGAAATGTTCCAGAACACTGCCTAATAGGGTAGCTCACAGCTTCCTGAATGTGTGGCTAAATCCTCTGTTTTTGCATGACAATAATTACAACTGAAAATACAAGAACGCTCAAAAGGTGCTCTAAGAGAAATGCAAAGCCAAACCAGGATGGAAAGAAAACATTTATTGAATCAAAATCAATACTTTCTTTTTAATATCTACAAGCCAACACTGAATGAACACAATGTACAAAAAAAGTATGCTTATATTATAAAAATATGTCAATTTTATCTTCTGGGAGCTGAGCAGAAGTCATTTTAAACAAAATCAAGGCAAACTTGCTCTCTATAATGAAACTGCTATAATTTAATAACAAAAGTAAAAGCTAATATATACTCATAAAGTATCTTCAAAGGCCCACTTGAAAGGCAATAATGCTGCACTGGAAATGCCGAACCCAATCACCGTAGTTAACATTTCCGGTCTGTGCTCACTGGCTCCACTTCACACCTCCACCAGGGGAAAGACAGAACCGATGGCATCAGCTAACCCGTCATGCAGTTTCCCGTGCTTCATGTTTGTTAGCATGTATTTCAGCAATCCACGAACAGTCAATCCTATTTATTTAGATTCAATTTTTACAATTCCACTTAGGATGCGGGGAAGCTGCCACCCTTCACACTCTGGACTATCGTTAAACCTCCCTAAAAAATTTGTGTCCAAGGTTAGTATGTTAAAATTTTAATGGTCTCCTTGAATTAATTGGCACCTTCCTTGGCATCTGTTCTGGCACACAGTGTAGCCTCTGGGTAACCAGGGAGGAACACTGTGGTGCTCACTGGAGTATTTGGTCCACACAGAAGATGTGAATTAGAAAGAGTAAAATCAAATCATGAAGTCAGCAACAAGGAGCATGGCTCCCTGTACTGTGATTCCAAGAGTTACATGACAAGTATAAACGTTATATGAATTTTAAAAGTCAGACAAAAGAGCATCAGTACTGACGAGGCCAGCAAATTCCAGAATGCACAAACTGCCTATTTTTATTACTAAGCATATATGTTTTTCTTCACAGATTCTCTCTCTAGGTGGGGTTGATACCTAAGAAGACTCAGAAGTGCAGACACACAAGCGTCGAGTAATTTAGTGCCCCGACTGCACCGGGTAACGTGCCTGTACAAACCCATTATTTATCCAGTTACCTAACTTCTTGGCTCTCTACATTTTCCTTTAAGTCCCATCTGCTGCATGGAATACTAATCCTACAAAGTGTAATTAGTCAGAACTGAATAGGACATTGGATTTAAATATTTTAATAAGACTACAAGCCACGAACTGTCTTAACACTACACCCTCACAGGTAAGGAAAAGTACTTATAGGATTATCTGAAATACACATAATTTGTGAAGAACAAACATTTTGGAGCCTGAGCAAAGGTTTCTCACCAATGTCCTAAAAAATCACCAGACAGGCTGTTGTCACTGACAATTCAGCCAAAGCACTATACTGCTCGTGGTAACTTCCACTACCTGAAAGAGGTTTGAAGAAGGAAAGGCCAAGGACTCGAGTCTGCAGTTAGGAGTACTGGCCAGGAGCTGAACAAACTGTTAGTGGAAACAACTGGATCCCATAAAATGAAACTAAGAAACAAGTAAAAACAGAATGCGTACACAGTGAGACTGGATGAGGGCATCACCACAAGACACTAACACAGAACCACACCTGTTTACAGTCCCACGTCCTTGCTCTCAAAATAAATATATTGAACATTTACAACCAAATGAATGCCAGATTTTAACTCTAAAATAAGCTACAGGTTACACCTTTTTGTGTGAAACTGACGTGATTTGGTGCCACAGCTAACCTTTCTCTAATAGCAGCAGTTACCCTCAGCTCACAGCAGCAAAGAAATACTCCTTTCTGGCATCCCATGGGCTCCCATATGAAGCAACTTCATAAAGCATGCAGATATCTATTCTGCTCAAGTTTCAAATGAATAAAAATGATCATTGTGCTTGTGGATGTCATACCTTCCAAAATATACATAAACGGTGACAAATTAACAAATAATAGCAGGTCCTACCTTACCAACAAACTCATAAGGCAGAGGGTTGGAGATGGAATAGAAATGTTTAAAATGGCAAAAAAAAAAAAAAAAAAAAAAAAATGCAGAAAAA